AACTCATTTTCCGATCAAACACAGTTTTGGCCAAACCTTTAGCACTGTTCAGTTACATGAATTAGACATAATTAGCAAAACACATTGACTTTTTTCCTTACAACCTCAAACACATCGTCAGTCACCAAATACGTCTCACACATCCGCAGAAAATGTTAACACTAGCAGCAAAATGTTAACACAATTAAAACATAGTTGCCATTTTTTACAAACAACAACTCAAAATTCAACACATTTGTAAAGATATCATCAGACCAACAGTACAGGGCAACTGCATGGATGGTCACATGCAGAGAGGCATAACAGAATGAGTCCATATGGTAAAAGGGTGAATGGCCTGTACTTGATATAGTACCTTACTCCCACTTCATGTTTAAAAAATGCAACAAATACTGTTGCCTGGCAGACCAAGAGGGCGGAGCTACTAACAAATACACACACACAGGCTCACAACGACATTGTGACATCATACGGTACCAGCTAATTTCATGAGGTACCTCTTAGCCAATAGCGATGGCATATTTAAATTCAAATGCAGTGCAGAGTTTTTACCTGACGACGGCGCAGCACTGACAGTTTTATGCAGAATATTTAAATTTTAACTAAGGTGCACTAAAGCCACAGACTACACGTGTCTACAGCACGATTAGAAACTCATTTGTCTAGTTTATCAGCAAAAAAATTTTTGATTTGGGGGTGACTAACTCTTTAACCAATTCTGCTAAACTACAAGCAGAATTTCTGCTTTACACTTGCAGTTTTAAAATGCACTTTTGTCAAAACACACACGATCCTTTGCATTTGTCACAAATGTCCTGAAGAAAATCTCGTATTTTCACAACAAACACACTGTCATTCAAAACTGTAAAGTCAGTTGCCCAACTTTGCATACCAACTCATTAAATGGGTAAACACCTGTCACACATAATTACAATTAAGAAAAGCAGCAACTTCCAACCATGATGTCACCCGTCACCATGCTGCCCTTGGCCTCTACAGCACTGCCCATCTGATCACATTCCTGGATGTCCTACACAACACACTCCTTCCACCAGATCAGATAGGTGGCCAGATCAGCTCAGGATCGTTGTCGTTTGGGGCAACATCAGTTTCCACCAGCTGCTCTGGTTTGTGACCCCCCACACTTTTTAGTTGTTTATCTTCCTCCATATTCTCCTACTTTCTTCTGCGTAGAGATGGAAGCCGAAATCCATGCACACATTTACCCCTTCTCCAAGCTACTGAAGTAGCATGTGGAGATACAACAGTTGATGCTAGTCATGGCTGGATTGGCCATGCTAAGCAATATTTCCCTATTAATCCCAGCTCTTAAAAGTACAGGGACTTCAACAACCCATAACTGATTTTATTGTGTTTTACTGTAAGCATCAGTTGGTGTGTTTTTACTGTGTATATTTACGACTCTTCCACTGTTTTGTGCTAGTGTGAATGATGATGTTGAACCCTGTTGAAAGATGAATTTCTGTAACCGTTTAGGTGTCAGATAAATAAAGTTGTCTATTCCATTCTGCTTGGCCAGGGAGGACATTGTTTGTGAAGTGGATGAGGCACTGTGGCCAGATAGAAACAGAAGAGAGAATGTGTCACGCGCGTGTGGCGAGGTGAGCTCAGGTGGGGCAAGGATCCACACGCGGGGAGGAAACCAGGCAGACAGGTGAGGACTTCTAACATCGGTTTATTAGAAACATGCTGGACACTGAAACAATGACACGACATGGAACACAGAACAGAAGGGGGTTTAAATACACGAGGAGAGGGAGCTATGGTGATTGGGAAACAAGAGGCAGGTGGGAGCAATTAACGGAGACACTGACGAAAACCTAAGAGAAGACAGGACAGGGCGTGGCAGTATGCAGCATAGTTGTTTATTTTTGTTTGTTTATTTTGACTAAACTGTATTCAATACATTCCTCTGTTTGTATATGTAGACCACTGCAACCTTGTATAGGTTCGGATGAACACTGTGTAAATATTTTATGTATGTGTGAAAATACAGTAAAATATTTTTGCTAGGTTGTATTTGTGTGTTTGTATACAAACATTTTGAAATCTTTTACATACAATGCACGTATGTAGGCTCATGTAGGTCTGCAGTACAGTAAGTTTAACACTGAACAAGGCAGTAAGTCATTACGATGACTGGAGAAGAAGTGCTCATAGCGTTTTACATTAAACACATCCGTGTTCAGCTGGTTCTTATCATGATAATTTGTGAGTCATTTGGAAACAAAACAACATTTGGAGAAGAAATTATATTGTTTTGAATGTAGAGTTTGATTGTGCAGGAGAATTGAAGGGATTCGCCCCATTGTGTGCATGCGTTTTTTTTTGTTTGTGTTTAGAAATCTGACAATGTAGGGCATGCTTTCAGAAAAAGTGTGTAAAAAAATGGGAAAAACTGTATCAGTGATGCCTGTTCACTTCCTTCCATTCCACCACCTCTCACATGGAGTCATCGTGATCTGGCGCTCTCCATCCATGCAGACGCACATGAGACACCTGAGAACTCTCAACTGACTTTTATCCTCCACAATTGGACTGATCACATCTTTTAGGGTCATGTCTGTTGAATGTTGAGTAGCTGTGTGGAAACAATGACAGCTGTGTTTTACTCATGTTCATTCTGCTGCCAGTGTTGCACAAGAAAGAACGAAACAAAGGAAATACTACAATAAAGGCCCCTTTATTAACATTACTTAGTGCATTACTAGGCATTAATAAACTTTTAACTTTTAAATAAAGTAGTAAGAAATGCTTAATATTAATGTTATTATTAAGTAATGCATTACTAATATTAAGTAGTGCATTATTAAGCATAACCCCCCTCCCCCCGGCCCTTTGTCCTAACCATAAGGAAAATTAATAATTAACAATAATGTTAATGAAAGGATCCTTTGCTTCTCCAGAGAATCAAGAAAATTATGGACAACCCTGAGCATTCTCTTCACAAGACTGTCCGACAACGGAAGAGTGTCTTCAGTCAGAGGCTTCTTCAGTTTCGCTGCAACACTGACCGCTACTGGAGATCCTTCCTGCCAACAGCCATTGTAATATACAATAACTCTTTGACGGCTTGATTATTATTATTATCCTGAGCTACTACAGCAATCAATTTCCCTCTGGGATTAATAAAGTATTTTTGAATTGAATTGAATTGAATTAATGCTTAATAATGCAAGTAACGTTAATAAAGGGACTCTTGTTACAGAAAGTTCATTTCTGTCGCACCGTTTGCAGAAAGAATTCCAAAGTGCTTCACAACACCAAAGAGGTAAAACAATCCCAACGATGCCATAGAGAGTTGCTGCCGTAAAATAAAATAAGCACAAACCTAAGAGGCGTTAAAGCATAAAAAAAGCTTCATAGATGTAATATCACTAAACCCAACCTGTCATGGTCTGCATGGTCTTCCTTCATGTGCCTCCTGGTGTTCTCCATCCCTCTCTAGATCCCCTTTTGTGTCTCATAGCGCCCTCATGTGTCATGTCCGCATCTAACCTCATGTGTCTCCATTTTTTGCAGCTCTCTAGATATCTCTCTCAGGTCCTGTGTCCCTTTAGTCTTCCCCAGTCACCCCTCTGCAGTTTTTATAGTTTCGGCCGTTCATTCTATTAGTCTCTTTAGTACGTTTTTTCCCACCGGTCTTTGTAGTTCCTTCCCCTTAGAATTTTAGTTATATGGTTGCTTTTCTGTTTTTAGGTTCACTCTTAGGTCATGTTAGTTTCTTCCCTGATTAGTCATTGCTTTCACCTGGTCCTCCCCCCACACTCCACACACCTGCAGCTCATCTGCCTCCCATTATGCCCCAGTGTATTTAAGCCCTGTCTTGTCTCTGTGTCTTGTCGGTCCATTGTTGCTGTTTGTGTTAATTCTGTCAGTCTCTTGTTCCTAGTCTCTAGTGTCTCTCGTGTCTCAGTTGGATCTCTAGTTTATTTTGGATTTTGGACGTTTTTGCACTTTGGCTCCCTGCCCTGGATTTATTCTTCGTTTCATCCTTCGAAAATAAAGGATTTTACTTTACATCATCTCCTGCCTCGTGCCATCCTGGGTTTCTGCATATTTGGATCCTAAACATCCCCGAAACGTGACACAACCATAGAAGCAATAAAAATATAGACCTATAAAGTGTAGAAGCATAAAAAGCCACACAGAAAAACAACATGACGTGAACTATTCATTTTGCATTTTTTATCAATAAACTTGACTAAAAACGGTTATTAAAGGCACGTTTTACGTGAAAATGATGCCACTACTGCTCATAACAGTGGGAGTACTTATTTTTTCATCTCTTAATACTAAAGTTTAACATTGTGAACTCATTCTTTGTCAGAGAAACAAGAACAAACATATGAAACTAAATGTGTTTTCAACACACAGCTCACTCTCCCGTCCTGGAGACTTACCAAATGACTTTCGTGTAAGAGAAACTATTTTTGGACTCAGCCCGGCAAAGGCTGCAGACAGCCCGCACGTTTCTCCTCAGCTCAGGAAGGATTAGTCTTTAGAAGCAAAAGAGTCAGCTGCAGGAGTCAGATGGACACGGATGTTTCCATGTCAAGAGTCAGCTCAGAGGGGGAATGAGTCAAATACCTCTTTGTGGGATTTTGCTCATTTTCCATCCAACTTGGTGAACTTTATTCAGCCTCATGAAGACTCCGGGAGTTCTGCAGAAACTCCTGCATGCTCCACATCGTGCATTGCTGGTAAACAAGCAGCAGCTTTTACTTTTTAAATATCAGACTCCAGATTTCTGTGGGACTTTGTGCCTTTGATCATCTAATTTCTAACACCTTACTGTGGAAGAGTCCTGTGCACACACACACACACACACACACACACACACACACACACACACACACACACACACACACACACACACACACACACACACACACACACACACAAAGCTTAAGCCACAGCCTCTATGAGTGTGTGCAGGGATGAGTAGAACCACACCTTCTGAGAGCGCCACCTGAAACTGGAGATGCAGGGGAACCAGTAAAGGTTCAGTTGTCATTGTCTTTGTTTTTGACGCCCCTCCTGCTTCTTTTAGGCTCAGACCGGTACAAGGTGTCAGGATATTACCATACAATGCTGTGTATTTACCGTTTTACGTAATCTGCCCCGGAAGCCGGGTACTTATAGTCACGCAGGTTTGAGGAGATGAAAGACTTAAAACGACGTAGCACTGGATACTCTGCAGCCCTGGCTCTGCTTCTGCAAACAGATTCTGTGTTTTCTGAGTGACGTGGACTCAGGCTGCCTGCTATTTATTCTATTTTGTGATTTGGTTGTTTTTTTTTCCAGAGGAAGGAAGCTTATTTCTTTCATTTTTATTTACTTATTTAGAGCTGAGGGTCAAGGTAACTACACTTAAAAGGTATGTATCATGCTTTGTGAAATATGTGATTCAGTTTTGTTTCTTTTTAAAATGTGAATAACAAAATCATTTCTTGACAAACTGGTAAATTTTGTGTTTATTTTTAAAAATGTGACAAAGCTTTTGGGTTAGTTTGTCAAACATGTGCTGTGAAAATCTTGTTATTTTATCATTTTGTGTCCTAAAAGAAATTATGATGACTATTAGGAATTCGTTCATGTTGCAGGCTGATATTTAGAGATTTCTGGCCATTAAAAGGCCTGGAAGTGCAATTCTGGCGTTTATCTCAGACATTAAGGGGTATTTTCGTGGGGCCGAGATCTTTCAGCTATTTCTCAGCCCGGGGAAGTGAGAAGGGAGGGGAAGCAGAGCTGACACAAAAGGCAACATTATTCCCCAGCGGATCTGCGCTACATCCTACTATGAATGGAGTATTGAAAAACATAACATTGGGGACAAGATTGTTTTTCATCCTCATAACTGAGCTATTTGTACCAGGGTTTCCAATGGTTTGTTGCTACAGTCTGCAAAGGAGGCTGCCATGGTCCTGAGCACTGTGCTGGTGTTAAAATCCCCACCTCCCAAATGGATGCTCAACAACTTTCCTTGTGTGCCCTCTGCACCCCATCTTCTGAGGGTTAGGGTTATGGCTGCAGCCCACCTTCTGAGACAAATTGGTTGGAGTTATCTCTGTGTGTCTTGTGCTGTGTCCTCCCAGTTCTGTGCACCCCAAGCTGAAGATCTCCGCACGTATACCTCCACCTCCCTTTGCCTCCTCCTCTCCAAGGAGATGAGAGGTGCCTCTGCCGTGTCATCGGTTGCCTAAGCGTTTTGGAGGGTTCTAGTGACAGATTGCAGGAAGCAGCGTTTATGCCCGACGATTGGGGACCGCAGAAAGCAGAAATGTCTTTTTGTGCCCCCTGGGCTCGGAATGTCCCACTATCTCAAGGGGCTAATATCAAATTCTCCCCTCATCATTCTCTGATACACATTCCTGTGTAAGGTCAGGGGGATTCTACATGGATGAAGAGACAAGTAACACAAGGCTGAGCCACACGCTGAGGTTTCCTGATGCTGCAGACAACTCTCCGAGGAGAGCATCAGTGAAATTCAGAATTCCACAAAAATTATAGGAATGAATTTGCACAAGTTTGCACTAAAATGACAGAGATGGGAAGTGGGGCATAATATGCTTCATCCTGAGGTAACACCCTCTGTCGGTGCATTTCCAGAAGAATGTGGGGGATTTAGTATCTACCTCTGATTACTGAGTGATCTCCATCTGAAGGAAAGTCCCCTTGAAAACAGCTGCACAGGCGCTGGACTTTGCTTGCAACCCAAGCCGACTCCAGCTGCTGATGCTGCGCCCAAAAGACAAACTTTCTCATTCTGCTGTCGTGTTTGTGCACAGCGGCCATCTTGTGCTCACTGCTGCAATAAGAACAGCCTCACTGCACTGGTATGTTCACTGGGCATGATGTGCATCAATTGCCTTTGAGCTGGATGTTTTCCAAAGCCTGAATTTAGACTGATCAATGCTCTTGCTATGGGCTGTGTTCGAGAAAATGACTTATTAGGCTTTGATAAGCCAGGACAGAAGAACTGACTCTTTTCAGTGAGTAAAAAAAGCCCCAGTTTACACACACACACACACACGGCTGTGAGAGGCTGGTAGAGAAAGACCAAGGGCATGTGAATGTGTGTGTTACAGGTGGACGGTCAGTCAGGCAGCCATGCGAGGCCAGCGTGTGGTGGAGACCGAGTGCAGGTACTGGAACCCAGCGGTCTGGCTCCTGGCATCCTTGCTGGGTTCCCTCATCTTAGGGGCCATGAGCGTTCTGCAACGACTCGGTAGGTGTGTGTGTGTGTGTGTGTGCGTGCGTGCGTGCGTGCGTGCGTGCGTGCGTGTGTGTGTGTGTGTGTGTGTGTGTGTGTGTGTGTGTGTGTGTGTGTGTGTGTGTGTGTGTGTGTGTGTGTGTGTGTGTGTGTGTGTGTGAGAGAGAGTCTGAGCTGAGACTGTCTAACAAGAAATAATCAAAGTCACTGACCTGATACTGACATCCCATCCTGAGTTTCTTTTATATCTATACACAATCTAATGCACTTTTTTCAATCTTTAGTAACATTAACAATATCAGTCATACAGTGTTGTTAATCTAAGTGTATAAAGTGAAATCCTGAATATTTAATTTAAATGTTTTTGCTTTTATTTTAACTTATTCACCTGCCAGTCTGGGCCAAAACCTCAGATACGTTGCCTTTAGACATTTTTTCCACCCAAAAGTGCTGAGATCATCTAAATCAAAACTAGGTTTTATCATTACGATTGGTTTCAATTGATCACAGAGCTACACACATTACAGTAATACCAGTGTATCATTTGAGAAGTAACTGTGTTTAATGTTTTACCCTGGTACTATGTACAGTATATGCAGTAATTCATCAATCAAGCCCCAACAAAACTTCAGTCAAAAAAAAATCAGGATTTCAGAATTTGTAAATTATTTAAAACTCACCTAATTGTTAAGTTTCGTGTAAAAAAAATCTAACATTTATTGGTCAAAATCTTGTGCAACGAGCTTTCCCTGACTTGTCTGATAAAATTCTGCATTGCCCACAAGTGTAGAGGATATAACCTTTCTCAGTGGCCTAGTGGTAGAGTGTCCGCCCTGAGACAGGGAGATCAGGGGTTCGACTTCTGGTCGGGTCATACCAAAGACTTTGAAAAAAATTGGACCCAATGCCTCCCTGCTTGACACTCAGCAGTAAGGGGTTGGATTGGGGAGTTAAACCACCACATAGTTCCCGAGCGCGGCTTGTCTGCAGCTCACCGCTCCCCCAGAGGATGGGTCAAATGCGGAGAACAAATTTCGCACACACACCTGTGTGTGTGACAACTGATGGGACTTTAACTTTAACTTTAAAACCATAAAAGGACACATGAGATAATTAATCATGTTTATCGTTGCTGCTACAAATAATGGTTTAAGACCAGGTGGACCTGCAGGAAAAATTCCCTGCAGATGAGTGCCTTTGTGACCGCTGCTAGCCCTGTCTGCCCTGCGATACCTTGTGGTTGTTTTAAAACCACACAGAATCAGTTCTAGCCTCTGGAACATCAAACAGGATAAAAATCATTCAAACGTGCTGCTTATTGGTTCATCTCTTATTTCAGTCAACAAACAGGAAAACTAATGAATCTTTTTTGTGTGTTCTAATTTCAGGAGACTTAAAGATAAACAAACGAGATGCATCAAGTGAGTAACATCACTATTTTATTATTTTGTGGTCCTCTGAAGAATAAAATCTCACCTACTAGACCAAAGAAGGCAAATGTACGGGCTCCTGAATTTCTTTGGTCATAGTTGAGGATTTCCAGCAAAGAATTCTGCTGTTGTGTCCTTGGGCAAGACACTTAACCCGCCTTGCCTGCTGGAGGTGGTCGGAGGGACCGGTGGCGCCTGTGCTTGTAAGCCTCGCCCTCTGTCAGTGCACCCCTGGGCAGCTGTGGCTACATCGTAGCTCATCACCACCGGTGTGTGAATATGAGTGTGTTAGAGTGTGCATGTGTTACGCTGTGGTGTAAAGCAGTTTGTAGTCCTCTGACTCTAAAAGGCGCTACAAGTGCGGGGTCATTTATCATTTGATATTTCTGTGACATGAACATGAACAGTGAGTCGACCTACATTTGGTGCAATTGTTAACAAAAGGTCACCCTTTTGTACGTCTGTCGAAATGTGAGACACGAGTCTTCAGGCATCAACATGTCCCTCGTCCTTTATCATGACTCTAAGGCTCGTGTTGTATCAGATCCTCACATGTTGAGAATGCACATGTGTAGTTTCTGTTAGCACATCTCTTTGGGTGTGCAAGTCAGTGCTCCGAGCTGAGAGTAATTACGTCTGTCAATGTGAGGCCAAAAGGTGATTGTCGAAATATAATAGACTCGCCATTTATCGCCTTTTCTCCACTCTCTTCCCAGTTGTTTCAGCCGGTGCGATGCAAAGCCTACCAGGATTGCTATACCAAGGTAAGCGTGAGATCATTTTCAAATGCACCGGAGTTGGAACACGCTGTTCATCCATGTTGTGCCTTGAGAACTCTGGATGAGTTGGACTGTGTGCCAAAGAGAGACAGCAGGAAGCAGAGAATAGCCTTGGGCTTCCCAAACAGGATCTCTTTCCCATGTCTCCGTTTACCTCATCCCTACTTATTTACTCCCTCCCACCCTCCTAAAGTCACCTCAGTGTGACGCAGCTTATTATGTTTCTTAACTGTAAAACGAGGCTGAATCTGGAGTTTTCTCGTCTTCTTGTTGATCTTATAGAAGCTACACAACAAACAAACAATTTTTAGAGTGTTTAAGAACTGTGGAAACACGTGTGTCCCTTTTGACAAAGAGCAGATCTGGTCTGCTTGTCTCTCTAAAGTCAGGCTGGTGAACGGACGCACCGGGTGTGAGGGCAGAGTGGAGGTAGGCTTCAACAACACCTGGGGCACAGTGTGTGACGATGACTGGGACATGGTGGATGCCAACGTGGTGTGCAGGCAGTTGGGATGTGGCGTGGCTGCAGCCGTAGTCAGCAGCTCTCACTTCGGACGGGGGAAAGGGTTGATCGCTTTGGACAACGTGGACTGTGGGGGCAATGAAGCCGGCCTAAGCCAGTGTCTCAATCTGGGCTGGGGCGTCAACAACTGTTACCACTATGAGGATGTGGGCATTGTCTGCAGAGGTGAGGTATTGATGTGCTTTGACAGTAACAAAGATGGAAAAAAGGGTGAAAAAACTAAAACTGCTTCTTCTTTTCTCTCGTTTGTCTTCCAGAGCCATTCTTGTTTGGGGCAAGGGATTTGGAGGTTCCCACCACACCGACCCTGCTAGACTCTGGTTTAGGTGAGAGCCCTCTGCTTTCATTGGTACGGTGGACATTTTAGGACATCATCAGGTCTCATGAAAACATTGTCAGAGCCTGTTTGATCTGATGTCTGACAATGTTTTTGTGAGACCTGAGGATTTCCTAAAATGTCCATTGTATGTTGGGCTGAAACGTGTCCATTCCGCTCAAACACCACAACTCTAACCCCAATCCTCACAAATCTAGCAGACGAGTGCACCAGATGTTTTAATGAAATCAGGTTTCGTCTATTAGTGAACAATTACTTATTTAATGTCTGTTTGGTATTCAGAATGTAGAAATCTCCATGAAACCAACCAATCAATCAATCAATCAATCAATCAATTAATCAATCAATACTTTTTTAATCCCAGAGGGAAATTCTTCTGAAAACCGAGGCAGAAATTCTAGAAATATTTTGTTGTCTCTGTTTTAAAAGGTCCAGACTACATCAAATAAGCTGGACAAATCCCTTTGAGCAACCGTACCAAATGTCCCGAAGGCCTCTAGAGTTCCTGACCACCCTTTTTGCTCCTGGGGTTTGCCTTTGTCACAGCAGCTGTGTTGTTTTTTAACATAGATTCTCAGGAAGATAATGAAAACGGGCTGAATCAAGCTTAGTGCACAAGCAGCCAAGTGACGTGTTTAGCTAACTCCCTGGTGGTCACCATAGTACGAGGAAGGAGGTCCTCCAGATTTATGATTCTCCTGCCTGACGGACACATGAGAGTATCTTTTGTCTCCGTGTTTTGTCTGAGTCCGGGCATAAGGTGTCAACATTAACACTCGATGCAACAGTAGAGGCTGCCATTCTTCTCTGTATCACTCTAAGGGGTTTTCTTCTTTTCTCTCTATCCCCTCATTTCCCCAACTCACATTAGTACTGAACCCCTGAAAATATCTCAATCATTCTTGGTTTAGGAGATGGCCTGATCCGTTTGGTAAATGGGCAGCACTCTTGCCAAGGACGGGTCGAGATTCACTTCCAGGGACAGTGGGGGACGGTGTGTGACGATGACTGGGACCTCAACGACGCCTCCGTGGTGTGCCTTCAGACAGGCTGTGGTAACGCCATTGCTGCACACACCAACTCCTTCTTTGGCCACGGTACCGGCCCCATCTTTCTGGACAATGTCAACTGCACCAGCACTGAGTTCAACCTGGCGTCCTGTAAGAGCCTGGGCTGGGGCAAACACAACTGTGGACACCATGAGGACGCTGGAGTCACCTGCACCGGTATGCTGCTCTTAGTTCTGAGTTACGCAACAACGGCAGTTTCCTTTTATCTATTAATAATGTCAAAACCATCTCCACCTATGATCGCCTTTAACAAGAGGTGCTTCTACTGGATATGGCCAAAAAGTAAAAAAATGCATATTTTCCTGTTGTGCGCCTCTTTTAGGAACCACCACCACAGCAGCCCCATCCACGGCCACTCAAACAGTATTGTGGAGATCACTGAACATCAACGGTAACAAAAAAAAGCTCAAAAGCTCCATTCTGAGTTTAAATCCGAGCCAACGTGTCTGTGGACAAATGCCTTTGTTTTTAAACGGCTTACCTAATCTGCTGGACTCCCACGCTGTGACTGAAGCTTACACATTTGCTAAATGACCAGCAGAGAGAGCCATTTTGTTGTTATAACAGCCAAAGCACAAAGCCAGTAGCAGGGTTCTCATGTGTTTCACTTTTTCACATAGTTTTTTTTTTAACATTAAAAATAGGAAAAGTAGAAGTGATGCATGTTACTGTCAAATCTTTACTTTCATGAATGCCACCCAAAATCATAGAAATTAACTCAAAATGCCTAAATTTGGAAGTTTTATCATTGTCGTCCTAAAAAATTGAGTGGAATGTTTAGTGAAGAAAATAAAATTAAAAAAACTACTAAACAACCTGACAGGACTCAACCTATAACAGTAATGATTTATTAAACAGGCTATGTAGTAGCACTGTTGGTTGTGTGGAGTTAGGATGCATGTGGGGATTTTCTCTGGGGGCTCCAGTTTCCTCCCACAGACCAAAAACACACATGTTCAGCTTGACTGGTGACTTTGAACTGTGATTAGATCTCTGTGACAAAGATATTCTATGTCAAGATAATGTAGTCATTTTTTTTGTACGTTCTCTTCCAGGAACAGAAGCCAATCCTGTCTCTACATCAACATCTACGTCAACGACCACAACAACGGTCACCACCACTACCACCACAACAACAAAAGCAACAACAACCACGACTGTTGCCACAACTAACAAGAAAACAGGTAATACATTTGTTCAGATCTCAGTGTTAAAAAAGCCACACCCACAGTTTTTGCTCATCATTTCTGTGTAAGCTAATCAGATACAGAGAATTTTCCCCCGTCATAAATGTCTTTTGTATTATTTTGGTCACACTCAAGTGTGTTATGAACAGCAAATAAGTTTCAGTTTCTGACGAAAATAAGATGAATAAGTAGAAAATTCAGCATTGAAGTGATGATTTCACAGCCTAGAAATCTAAACAAACCGTAGCAGTAGCAAAAGATTTAGCTCTTCAGGTTGGTCCAGTGAAGCTCCACTGTAGCCTCAGTAGGTCTACCACTGGCTTGGCTAAGTTTAGACAAAACCAGTCACAGCGCTCTTTATTTAGATGTTGTACAGACTTAGCACCATTATGGCGGAGCGTAATTTTTGCATCCATTTTAATTTGCTTATCTGGACTCGGGTCACGGGGGCAGCAGCCTAAGCAGGGGGGTCCAGGCGCCCCTCTCCCCAGCCACTTGGGCCAGCACCTTAGGAGGAATCTAAGGTGTCCCCTGGCACTCCGAGAAACATGGTTCCCTCCTGTGTGTCCTGGGACTGGGTCTCCTCCTGGTTGGATGTGCACGGGAAACCTCACCAGGGAGGCGTCATCCGAATCAGATGCCCGAGCCACCTCAACAGGCTCCTCTCAATGTGAAGGAGCAGCGGATCTACTCCGAGCCCCTCCTGGAGGACCGAGCTTCTCACCCTATAAGGGAGAGCCCAGCCACCCTGCAGAGAAAACCCATTTTGACCGCTTGTATCCCCAATTTTATTATTTTGGTCACTACCAAAGCTGTAGATGTAGATGCAGATCGACTGGGAAATCAAGAGCTTCGCCTTCCAGCTCAGCTTTCTCTTCACCACGACAGACCATTACAACGCCTGCATCACCTGTATATGTAGTGCCAATCTGTCTATCGAGCTTGCACACAATTGTTCCCTTGCTTGTGAACAAGACCGCGAGATGCTTAAACTCCTCCACTTGGGGCAGGACCTCTTCCCTGACCCGGAGAAGGCATTCTACCCTTTTCTCGACTCGAGACCATGGTCTCAGATTTAGAGGAGCTGATTCTCATCCCAGCTGCCTCACACTCTGCTGCGAACTGCTCCAGCGAAAGCTGGAGATCACAGTTAAAAAAAAATTCTGAAATATAACAGCTGTAAGAAATCTTGGAACTTTACCATGGAGGAATTTTTTTTCTCATCTCGTTATTAATCATGACTTCGGATCTTCTGATCTCAACAACTAAATGAGGCCTGCAGGGCTTTTTGAGATCTGTTAACCTATTTCTGTTGAAATATGGCAATTTCCAGATCTGGGTGTAGGCGGTGAAACTGAACTTCACAAATTATTAGTTGTTAATTGCAGTTTTTTTCCCTGAATTAACAAGGACAAGTGGAACCCGGTTGGTTTGTGTAACTTTAACCCACTAACAAAGGAAATCATAACTTGAAAACAACCATTTTGTATTTAATCAGTTCATCTTTGAAATTTTAAATCTTGTTGCTGATCTGAAATTTATTGTGTGGCACAAAAACTCTGTAAGTTGCAATTGTCTATTTGTTCACGTTTAGCTCAGTATCCCCTCCGTTTGGTGAATGGGAATAACGACTGTGAGGGTCGTGTGGAGATCCTCTTCAACAACGTGTGGGGGACAGTATGTGACGACGCCTGGGACATCATTAATGCCAGAGTGGTGTGCAGCCAGGTTGGTTGTGGCCCAGCTATTGCAGCCAAGAACCAGGCCTACTTCGGCTATGGAACGGGTCCCATCCTGCTGGACAATGTGGACTGTCAGGGCTCTGAAGCAGAGCTTGCCCAGTGCTTCAACCTAGGCTGGGGTCAGCACAACTGTGGCCACAATGAGGATTCTGGAGTAATCTGTGCAAGTAAGACCTGATCGGGCATCATTTGGCACCTCAACATTAGACCTCCATTTATATTGTGTATACATTGTAGTTAAAATGGAAAATATTTGTATTTATTGTCAAATTATGATCTATCAAGAATACGCAGTTCAATAGGAAGCACACAAATCCCACCCCGCTGAGCTGTGATTTTTCACTATGTGACTGTGTTCATCAAGAAGGATGCTATGGAGGACAGAAACTGCCAAAATAAAATTAATACAGCCATAAAATCAATGAATCAAAGTAATTAACCCAAGAAAAATAAGGGTGTTAGACAATTGTTACTATATTAAATGTAATATTTTTATGTAATATTTAAATTTTTATTGCAAAAAGTATCTTTCATTCACCCCAGTAATTTAATCATCTTTTTTCTTTGATTTTCTTTTTAAAATATTTTTAATCTTTTGAATTGTTAGAGATTTTTATTTCTGTATTGTAATCCTTTAGTTTTTAATTTATTTAATTCTAACATGATTTGGTTCTGTATTTTTTACTTAATTTTTTTTTCTCTAATTTTTTTCAAACTAAGATGTATTTTCTTCTCTAATATTAACACCTTGGTTCTATTTTTTCATGTACCTTTTTAAAAATTCTCTATTTTATTTTATTTTATTTTATTTTATTATTTTATTATTTTATTTTATTTTATTTTTATTTACAAGGTGTTTGCACCCACATCATTGTAAAATAGGGGATGATGCTAAAGGGGAGGGGAGGTCTTTCACAACTTTTCCTGCTGGTCATCATGAAGTTACTGTTCTGAGATTGATTATGCATGTCTTGCTGCCCAAGTATCAGTGCCATTTGAAAACAAGCGGTTTTCAGCCGTCTCCAGCAGATTGCTGACTGATCAACATGAGACAGCGAACAGGGCATGTTGCTATCTCACCTGAAAATAAGACTTCTGCTGAAGTGAACTCCAGTCTAGTCCCACGGAGTGTCCACCGCTACTACGCTGGAGAGTCATCTCCTCGTGTCTCTTCTGGCTGTTTGGTGAGTCCTGTTTTATTTCATTTCTTTAGGTTTTAATTAGCTTAGATTTGGTGATGAGTGGTGTTTTCGACTGGCTGTGGTTTTGTATTTCCATCAGGGGTGTTTAGAATTTGGGGAGCAAAATACTTTTGCTTACTTTTCACCTTTAAATTTTTAAATATTTATTAAATATTATTTGAATAATTTCAGTTTCTCTGGGTGTCGAGGTTTACGCTGAGTCCTGCATGCTGACCAGATCTGTTTCTTTCTTGAGTCCATACAACTTAGTCCAGAGTACTGCTAGTGTGCTTGTAAAATGCACATTTTCACGTTTCACTCACCATCTGACCATAATCCTTCTTCTTCTGGGACAGGGCGCTTAATGAAGGAAGATGCTGGACTTCAACCAGCTTCAAGAAGAGTATTCCTCTGTCTTAGCTGTCGCCAAGTTAAAGCGGTAAAAGTAAAAGCTGTTACTCTCTCAGAACTAATGTTATATTTTGACGAAAGCTAAGGAAACTAAAGTTATCCTGAATTCCAGGTTTCCCTTTGTTGCCAGAAGAACTAGAAGAAACTCTGATGTCGTCCTTACTCCACTTTTTGGTGACCAGTTTCATTTTTGTCCCACCTAAACTGAGGACAACTTTTAAACATGAATGGACGTCCTCTGCCCTGAATCTACAGCAAGAGGACAGATGGAAATGAAAGACTGTATTTTTGTTTTTTATTGAAAGTTGGGAAAATGTCTTTGAATAAAATTGTTTTTGGTACTTTCATATCTTCAAACGCACAATATATTGTTTCAATAAATGTTCAACTTTTGTGAATATATTGTTTCAATAAATGTTCAACTTTTGTGACCGTGTCTTATTTTAATGAGGTATTATTATGTTTGCATGCTGGTGAAAAAAGAGCTGAACACATAACTTTATAAATAGGAGCTGCAGTAGCTCAGATACTGAAACTGCACAAAAAGACAAATAGAAAGACATTAAATATAAATATAATACTGATGTTTTTGCCATAACACAGCAGATTTTAATAGATGGAAAGTTTTCTTTATTGCCAAAAGTCAAACATTGAAAGGAAGAAACACCCAAGCCAGCATGTTGATTGATTTTTTTCTTTTATAAACTTTCAAATAAAAAAGCTCAGATCTTTTTGGCATTTAAATAAAATGAATATTTATTCCTAAAATTATCACCAAGGTGCTTTTATATAATTTTGTATCACAGATTTTATCAGACTCTCGTGGTTCATCAGAGCTCTGTCAGAATGAATTCCAGCTATCTTCCCCCTTGTGGTGTTTTTATGAGCATCAAATGACTAATTACAGCCAAACCTATGAGGAATGTTAGAATTATAAAATGCTGCAGCAAGGTAAGAACTACATGAATCAACAGAATTTGACACCTGGAAAAATGATCAGGATTTATTTCATACCATACCATACCATACCAATTTTGTGGAGCACTTCTACCACAGCATTACGATTGACCAAAGCGCCACACATTAATGAAACAAAACAGGCAGAAATAGTCACATATGTCATAACAATAAAAAGAACCAGGAAGTAAAAACCAACCAAACTGGGTGGAACCACATTATGTTGGTTCGGGGGGACTGACTGATCAAAGACATGAATGCATGAAGCTGAATTTTGAAATTGATACTGGACTGATTTGGCAACCAGTGGAGAGTTTTAAGAATGGGTGTAATGTGCTGTCTCCTGTTCGCTCCAGCCAGCAACCTAGCTGCTGAATTCTGAACAAGCTGAAGTCTGGACAGAGCAGCTTTTCTGATGCCATAAATGCAGGAGTTGGAATAGTCTAGCCGGGATGAAATAAAGGCATGAATCACAGATTCTAGAAGACGATCGGGAAAAGCTTTAATTTGCAAATTTGCCTAAGGTTGTAGAAGTATTACTTGAATGTGCTGACCTGAGTGTCCATCTTCTATTTTTACTTCAATAATGGAAACAGTAGAGGTTAGATGAGGAGAAAGAGAGTGGAGGTCAGGTGACTGGGTCACTCTAACATCGTCAGGACTAAAAACAATCACCTCTGTTTTAGAGTTATTCAGATGGAGGACGTTTTCAGCCAGCCACTCCTTGATATTATGGAAGCCATCCTACAGAGGTGTAGTGGAGTCAGTGCTTCAGTGGCGGCTCCAGAAATATTTTTCTGCAGGTGCTATGAAGCTGCTAGTCTTTTTATTGAGGGTGCTATGAAGGAAGTGGTCGTGCGTACCTACTGTTCTCTAAAACACCTTCAACACTAGCAGATACACATGTGTGCACAACACCTCAACAACACCTGAAACAATCATTAATAAACATCATAAACATATGAACAATCACTGACTTTTCCATGAAATCATAAACACATACAGCCACACAGAAAACCATCTATAGTGTTGCAAGGTTAGCTAACGTTAGTGTTAGCATTTCCAGCGGCAAAACCCTCGACTGCTGCGGCGGTTGAGGGTGGACTCTCTTCTTCCAGATCCGTAGGGTTTTGTGGATCTGAGATCACTTCCAAAGATTCATTCGTTTCTGACTGAACCCGTGGAAATTTGGGCAACAAACACCGATCCATTTTACCTTTCGCTCGTTCGCAGGTGGAAAATCAGGTCAAAGGTTAACATCAATTTCCTGTTTTGGTTTAAGTTTTTACTATCTATATGATAATTTGCTGATTATTTTTGTTTTGTATTTTAAATATTATCACATCCACACGTTAAATTAAAATTAAATTGTAAAAAAAAAAAACCTAATATTTACTTGGGGGTGTTATGGGGGTGCAATGACTAATCCAGGGGTAGCTATAGCGCACCCTAGCGGCCCCCTGGTGCCGCCACTGGTGGGCTTAAGAGAAAAATAGATTTGGCAGTCATGTGTTTATAAATGATATGAAACAGCATGCTGTCTGAGAATGGCTCCTAAAGGCTAAATACAGAGGGAGAAACGTGACGGGCCGAGGAAGGAACATTGAGGAACCTCCCCCGGGGAGGGAGAGCAACTGGGATGAGTAGTTATCCAGCATGACCCTAAGGGTCCTGTTAGAAAAACAAGACCAGTCAAGGGCCAAACCTGTGATGCCAGCCCATGTGTGGTGTCTGGAGATCAGGGTGTTATGATCGATTGTGTCAAAGGCTGCAGATAGATCAAGAACCACATGGAGCCCTGAAACCAAAGTTCTTTTTTAACCAGCCAATAGATTATTTTTTATCTCGAGTTCTGTTTGGATGTCTAGATTAAAACTCTATATTTAAATAATCTGATGCACCAAGTGAAGTAAATCAATAAAGTATGAGTAAAGATGCCAAGGTGAAAGGTTATAAATAACAGATGTTTAGAATGAACAAAAAATGCAGTCTGCTCTGTGTGATGGATTACAGTTAATCTGCATCAACTGTAAATTAAAACACTAATTTGTGTCTTTGAACGTTTTTTTATGTTGATTGTTGTCATCTTGACAAAAATAAGACATTTATATACACAGATTCAGAAGAAGTACAGCATGAGTCCATTATTTATCTGACAAAAAGCAGACAAGCTGTAGCTTTCAACCATTATTTAGTTAAATTATGATTCCTTTAAAACATTTTGGTAAGGATGTCAAAGCTGCATTTTAAAAGCTTAAATTGGAAATTTCTTACATCTTCTTTATCTATTAGCAGTTTTTCCCAGTTATTTCTAATGAAAACATTTTACATCAAGACATCAAAACAGCTATTAAAACATGACTGAAGATTTTACTTTCAGCTTCAGAGAAAACAAAACAAAACAAAAAACAACCAAAAGTAAATTGAAGCAAACATCTTGGGACAGCAGTAGCTCGGGAAGTAGAGCAGGTTTCCAGTAATTGGAACGTTGATAATCGAATCGGTTCGATTCTGGCTCCGACCAGCGAATGCTGCTGTTGTGTCCTTGGGCAAGAAATTTGCCCACCTTGCTTGCTGGTGGTGGACGGAGGGACCGGTGGCGCCAGTATTTGTCAGGCCTCACCTCCGTCAGTGCGCCCCAGGGCAGCTGGGGCTACATCGTAGCTCATCCCCATCATTGTGTGAATGGGTGGATGACTGAATGTGTTGTGAAGCGCCTTGGGGGGTTGTAAGACCCTAAGAAGGTGCTATACAAACACAGGCCATTTAAAAGTGACCATTTTAGCACCTTTCTTTTTTGGCTGCAGCTTCATCCGTTTGGTGGAATTTCCTGGGCCTTCACCACGACAGATCAGTACAACGCCCACGCCACTGCAGACGCAGCATTAATCCGCCTATCGATCTTTTCCAACTCAAGACCGTGGTCTCGGATTTTGAGAAGCTGATACTCATCACAGCCACTTCACACTTGGCATTGTGCTTTCTACCGCGACAAAAATTCAAATGTTCAAAATTTAAAAGAAGTTCACATAAATGGGGTTTAATATATATACCTTTACATAACCTTCAGTTTCGCATCAAACAGAATTCCACAGAAACTAAAGCAGGAACAGCAACTGCACGGGAGGATTAGGTGAAGAGAGAGTGAAGTCTGCCCCAGTGCACTCTGGGATATGTAACTGGGTTGTGTGAAGTGTGTCCATTGGGCTGGTAAAATTGCATGTAAAATGTTATCATAAATTGGAGCTTGAAATGTCTGACCAAATGTTTTTTTTAAAGTGAACAAATTATTACGGTTAACCAAACTAACAATAAATGCTTGGTTATATTAAGTGATAATCATTTAAAACTCTTAGTTTTATTATTATTGTTGCATTTCTTGGCACATACATTTTTTACTGAGCCATTTCTTTTTTTCCCCGTATGTATTCTAATTTTGGCAGTTTTATCACTCCATACAGGAGGCCCAGAGAGCATAAAAAATACAGGAGATGATTCAAGGCAAATCAACTTCACAGCATATCTCCATTATTTTGGGCTAAACCAGAAACACAGACAGAGATGTTAGATTTAAGTTAATTATCATCATTTTTGAGGTTTAATTGTCATCTATTTTCTTGAGTAATTAAACTTTTTGTCAATAATTTGCATATAAAATGAAAACCTTGGTAACACTTTACAAAAGAGTCCCTTTGTTAACGTAATTTAGAGCATCATTAAGCATTAATTTACTATTAAATTGTTAACATCTGCTTAATATTAATTTAAATGTTAAGTAAGGCATTAGAAGAAGAAGAAGACAATCTTTAACATAGCGCCTGTCAAGATAAAAATCATGAGGCGCTTCACAAAAAAAAGTAAGTATAAAAAGATTTCAAAAATGATTGAAAATATGTTTAAAAGAAGAAAAGGAAAAAAATGTAAGGAAAGGGAGAGAGAAAATGAACAGGAAAGAGGGAAATCAGTGGATTCTGGGAAAGGAGGAACAAGAGCAGAATAAGAAGAGGGTGGTGACGAAGATCACACCAAAGCCAGCTTGAACAGGTTTCAGTTGATTTTTAAAGGAGACCACTGAGTCCACTGATCTCAGGCTCAGGGGGAGAGAGTTCCAGAGTTTGGGGGCCACAGCAGCAAATGATCTGTCACCTTTGGTCTTTAGCCTGGTGCTGCACAACCAGTAGGCTTTGATCACTGGACCTCCGGGACCTGCTGGGGGTGTAGGGACTAAGAAGATCACCAATGTAAGATGGTGCTTGTCCATGTAAGGCCCTATAGACCAGAACCAGGATCTTGAAATGAACCCTGAAGTTGACTGGCAACCAGTGAAGCTGGAGGAGAAGCGGGGTGATGTGGGTGTGTTTGGAGGACTTGGTCAGAAGCCGAGCACAGGCATTCTGAACCACCTGTAGACGGTTCAGGGAGGTTCTGCTCAGACACATGAAAAGAGAGTTACAGTAGTCTACGCGTGAGGAGATGAAGGTGTGGAGAACTGTCTCAAGTTCAGAGCGGGACAGAATGGGACTCAGCTTTGCAATGTTCCTGAGATGGAAGAAGGAAGAGCCAACAAGAGAACTGACATGAGAATCCAGGGTGAGAGCTGGGTCAAAGGTCACACCAAGATTCCTGACTGAGGGTTAGGTGTGAGAAGCAAGCTGATCAAGGCCTAGTCCACACGTAGCCGTTTTTTTTTAAAAACGAATATCTGCCCCTCCAAAAACTTGCATCCACACCACCTCGTTTTAAAAACAAACTCTGTCCACACGTACCCGGATAAATACGTTGTTAAGGACATGCCAGACCTGTAGGCGGCAGTACTTCCCCCGTTCTTAACCTCGTCTTTCGTCTGTGGTCTTCCGCAAGGAGCAGTAATTCCGCTTGCAAAATCAAACAAGCAAAAAGCGCTTGGACAATTGATAAAGCGAGCGCAGCTCTGAGGGCATCCATGCTGTTGGCTAGTGTAAACACAGGTCACACACGTGATGTCAGCATTTTTTGTCGCGGAAAGTGACGTTGCGGACCTTAAAACTCCGGTTTTGTCTGTCCACACGCAGACACCCAAAACGGAGAAAACGCAGATCTTCACTTTGGCCGGAGTTTTTAAAAAACTCCGTGTTCGTGTGGATGACAGGCCAAAACGTAGAAAAATACCTACGTTTTGGCAGATCCCCGGCTACGTGTGGACAGGGCCCAAGAGAGTCTCTGACTTTGGGAACCAGCTTGTCTGGGGCACAGATGAGGATCTCAGTCTTATCTTCATTCAGCTGAAGAAAGCTCCCAGCCATCCAGGTTTTGATAGAGTCTAAGCAGGTGTGTAACAGCTGCAGCTTAGACATCTCATGGGGCTTAAAGGAGATGTACAGTTGGATGTCATCTGCATAAAGATGGTAAGAGATTCCTGTGAAGGAGCATTACTAAGCCCCCCCCCCCCAACCCTGTCGGCCCTTTGTCCTAACCTCAAGGACACTTAATAATTAACAACATCAGGAGCATTAATAAAGGGATCCTTACTGTAAAGTAAATGGTAAAAGTGGTAAATGGCCTGAGTTTGATATAGCACCTTCTAGAGTCCTGGAACCCCCAAGGCACTCTACATCACAATCAGTCATTCACACATTCACACACACATTCACACCCTGGTGGTAATGAGCTACGTTGTAGCCACAGCTGCCCTGGGGTGCACTGACAGAGGCGAGCCTGCGTACAGAGGCGCCATTGGCTCCTCCGAACACCACCAGCAGGCAAGGTGGTTCAGGTGTCCTGTCCAAGGACACCGCAACAGACTGAGCGGGGTTCGAACCTGCAACCTTCCGATTACGAGGCGAGCACTTAACTCCTGTGTCACCGTCGCCCCACTATAGTGTTACCAAAACCTTTAAAAGAAAATGTGAACGTGTAGAAAATTCTTTAAGAAAGCACATATCTATAATTACTAAGAATTACTTTGTAGAAATGTGCCTTAGCACTTAGGCTTCAAGGAACCCAAGAGACCATATATTGATCGGTGGAGTAATTAGAGTAGAGTGCCATGTTAATGCCTTTGTGACCTGATATTTCCTGTGCGTGTCCATTGGGAACGAGTATTATACTGTTATCTCTGCTTTCCTCTCATTCCTGTAGTTTTTGACCCCGAGTTATTCCTTCTTGCAAGTGCACGTGACTTGAATTTCACAGAGGGAATTCTGTCCACCCTTCAGCCCTCTGAAGGTAGAACTACCTCTTCAGCCACCTCAGTAACAGAAGACTTTATAACTCATGACTCTGACTTTATAATTTTGATCTTTGTTTTAATGCAGAGAGGCTGAGACTGGTGGGTGGTGAGCACCGATGTGAGGGACGTGTGGAGCTGTACCTAAACTCTGGATGGGGCACAGTGTGTGACGATGCCTGGGACCTTCCTGATGCCCAGGTCGCGTGTCGCCTAGTGGGCTGTGGAGAGGCCACAAAGGCTTGGGGAGAAGCTCACTTCGGACCTGGAACAGGAACAATCCAGATGGACAATCTCAAGTGCACTGGTTCTGAGACGTCCCTGCTGAGTTGCTCCCATATATCTTGGAATGTACACAACTGTAACCACTCTGAGGACGCTGGTGTTACGTGCTCACTGTCGTGATTTCAGTGCAGCACACTTCCATCTCCACACTGGGTTAAGTACAACATAGGAATTGTGTACATCATGTAAATTATTGCTTTTTATATTGCTGCAGGAATACCCCACTTTTGACATAATACAAAACAACTAATGCAACTTGATATAACTCATATAATAACCATCTGTCTATTAAGCACTTTATACATTATTTTAAGATAAAATTTTATGTATGCATTTTTTGTTAATTGAGAAAAAAAAGTTTTTCTTTTTAGTATTTACTGTATGCCATAATTTCATCATCAAGTAAAGATTTTTCCAAAGAGGTCCGTGAATTTAAAGTAGACATCTGGACTTTTTTTATCTGACGGCACCATATAGAGGCTGAAAATTGTATTGCACCTTAAGCCCCTCTCGCTGCTTCAGTCATTATCACTGTAACAAAACCTCTCATATGTGAATGTGCACCTTTAGACAAAACACACTAGAGCTAAAACACACAGTTTTACAGGTATTAGTCTCACGTTACATTGAGAAATGTCATCAACTCTGCATCTGTCTGGGTGCGTAAAATGCTCTGTGATTGACATCTGTATGTAAGCGGATGTCTAATGTCATTGGCTAATGCTGAGTGGCGCTCAATTCAAATTGCATGGGGCTTTATGGAACAGAGTGACTTAGCAAAAAAAATGATGCGTTGACTGCTTGTCACAGTACAGGGTTAAACTATCAGTTTTACCCATCCCCCCCCCCCCCCCCCCCCAAAAAAAAATCATATATAATCCCTGAAAAGGGGAAAAACTCCAGATTACAGCTTTAAAGTGACTAAGTGTAGTTTTCACCTTTAATCTCTAAAAATATCCATCGAAATGTTGTTGAAAATTCATTAAACAATGCCCAGTGTTTGAAAAATATTGGTGACTTTGTAACATGTAACCGTAAAAAGTTTGATCTAAATTACACGGGAGCGGGTCTGAGGGTGTTTCTCAATGTCAAGGTGCCTGGCCTATAGGCCAATAAATGGAGAACAGACGCCTCTGCAGCACTTAAACACTGGCACACGTCTTGGCGCTTCCTGATGACGTATCTCCTAGGAAACCGGGGTGGGACCAAGACATCAAGGCGAGGTTCCTTGACATCGAGAAACACCCTAAAGCCTAGGGCACAACGGAGACAGACGTGCTGCGCCGCACCACACCACGCCACACTGTGCCGCACCACGCCACACCACACCGTCCTTTAAAACAGCAGCAATTATAGTTAATGAGAGTGGCTACACGAGGAGCGCCGCGCCAAGGCTATTTATCTCAGTTCTATCTCAAGCGCTGCGGCTGTTTACAACATTGTGGAGTACTTAACAGACATTACGACGTGGAACGGCTTTACGGCACAAACCCAGCCACAGTTTTGATAACTTTAAAGAGTAACAAAACTTTTTTTGCTAAATAATTATATAATTGGGTCTTTACAAATGCAATATTTCTGTTTCCGTGCATTTTTTGACATGTTTGTGTAAACTTGATTAAATCTAGAATCTAGGTCTAAAAATGTCTCAGTGCTGCCCCCTGTGGCAGAACAGCGGCTACTGCATTTTAAGCTTGTGATTGACTGGGGCTGGGTCATCGGTACAGTCTCCTCCCACTCCCCCTCCCAGGATGGAAATTCCCCTCACTTGGCCATGCCACTCTGTGCCTTCTGGCAACGGCCACTTTCATAGCATTTTTCAAATCTTGACTAGGGGTGGAGTTACATTTTCTGATGGTGTGCAGTCACTCTTTAAAGTACTATTGATCCTAAAATATTCTAATAAATAGCATACTTACCCATTTTTAATGAATTAGAGTCTCACAAAACCCGACGGCAAGTCTGTTCACGTATAAACAATAGAGTCACTTCCTGCTTCCTGTTCTCAAGTCCCGCGTGATGTTGTGACTATTGCGCGACTTTCCAAGAAGCGCTCAATGGCGCGGCGCTTCCTGTGTGATCACTTTATTTCTCAAAACCGCGTCTGTCTCCGATGTGCCCCTGGCTTAAGTGTCTGGGTGACGCCATATTAAATGTCATATTTCCTTCTACGTGACGCTGTGATGACAAAATGCATTTGCTGATTTGTGACAAGCGTTTACAAAACTTTTGATATTCATAAAAGTTGTTGTTTTACATATTTACCTCTTCCCTCATTGCCTGTGATTAAGTGCAGTCTGATGTTCTTGTCATTTGTATGAATAATTTTGAAAGCATATAGTTTACTAGCCTGGCCTGCCAGACTCCTCTTCTGTTTAATTCTGCACAGAAAAATGGTCTGGGAACTCTCCTATTCAAATAACCCCACCCCCCGAGAATTCTAACCGAGCCAATCAGCGCTGAGTAGCATACGTCACACACCACAACGCCGAGTTTGTCATAAACATGGCGACTGAAGCGGAGTTCGCTGCGGCTCTTTCCTTTGTTCTAAATGACTTGGACAAGTCTTTAAAACCACAACAAGTAGAAGTGCTAAGCCTTTCTTCTAAAGACAGATGTTTGCGCTCTCGCCAGACCCATTTTTGACTACAGCCAAAAATCTACAGCGTTGTGGACGTCACACACAGCGACGCTCAGTTTCTCGTAAACAACGAAGACAGCAGTGGAGTTCGCTCTGTGGCTCTCTCCTCTGTTCTAAATGACTTGAATGTCATTAAAACCACAAGTAGAAGCGCTAAAAGCCTTTCTTCTAAAAAATTAAAAGATGTTCGCGCTGTTGCCAGATGCCTTTTTTTTTACTACAACTAAAAAACGAAAGCGTCGCGCGGTACAGTTGGCATTTCCGTATTTTTTCTGATTGGTTGTTATTGAGCTGGCTAGTCCAGCCCCTCATGTGCCTCTCTGCCTGTGAGTTACCAAACTCTTTCTCTGTGCAGAATTAAACAGAGGACGAGTCTGGCAGGCCAGGCTAGTGGTTTACAGTCCCAATTCAAAGTTCCAGATCAAGGTCCAGATTGAGATATTTTTTGTATATCAGTGTTATACGGTGGCCCAGAAGTTTCAACAAAATACAAAATTTTAATCTAAAATGACTCCAGTTGGGGGACAAATGCTCATGTATTCTAAAAGTTCTGCAAGTGCAAGGAAATGCAAACATCCATGAATAAATGAAATATGCATAATGTGGTTTGTTTTCCATTAACCCACATACGTATTTATCAATCACTTTATATGTAACAAAATAAATGTTATTTTTGGTCATTTCATTTTTTTCTTCTGACGCTCGGTTTGGACTTGGATGTGTCATCTTCACCATGTCTAGATGACTTAAATCCACGTGATTGGCTGATTTCTGTCAACAAGCAATTGAATTGGTATACCTGATAAAATGGCCAGTGATTATATAAATATACAAACAACAGCCCATGTAATATGAAATACACACAGGAGTGTAAGTGCTTCTAAAATGCTTCTTTTCTACTGAATCCCAGCAAAGCCAACACAACTGCCTACACAAGTGACATCCAAAATTGTAAGCATTCATGCACATCAGCTGGTGTGTTTTCAGTTACACAGGCTAACTTGTATTTATCAGAAATATACCCATGCATGTATGTTAATTACTTTCATTGACACAATGATGCTTGTAAAGAGTTGAATCTCTTGGAGCTTCTAAATATTGAACGACAGGCTAAAAAAAGCCACAGAGATGACAAAAGCAGCAGAGTCGGTGAGTACAGCAAAATAAGAGAACAGGAGGCTGAGTAAGAGTTGAATTTTTGGAGAAGGTACTCAGAAGTCTTCTCTACGGAGAAAACAGTCCTATAAAGTAGCTCAAAGCTTCATAAACCACTTAAAAACAAACTCCTGGTCTATAATATTAGTCATTGTCATAAAAGGCTGTTTTTAATAACTTACTATAACTTTTAACATCTTCAACACATTTATGTGATATTACTTTCACTGCAGAACTTTACCTTGCATCAAAATATGTTTACAGCATGGTACGTTTATAGAATTTAGATAGCTTTATCTTACAAAAACAATCACAAGAAAACAGTTTTGCCCCCGTCAGTCTGTTTTTAATTTTCCATTTCATTTGTGTTGTAGTGAGATATTGGGAGGACTTAACACCAAAGCTGCGATGAAGAAAAACAATAAGATGGCTTAGACTCAGGAACGGCGCTCATTTGAAATGGCTTTGAAGTCATATTTGAATTACTTCAAATTGGGCTTTTCTTTCAGACACGAGAAGATGGAGGTACTTAGGGATAATGATGGCAGAGTTAAGTGCCCGCCCTTTAACTGGAGGGTTGCAGGTTTGAGCCCTGCTACGTCTGTTGCAGTCCTTGGGAAAGATACTTAACCCACACTGCCTGGTAGTGGTGGTTGGAGGGACCGATGCCACCGCCGCAGATTCGCTTCCACCTGCATGTACTGTAGCTCTTTCACCAATTTGTCCTAACCAATTAAATCTTCAACAGCAATGTGCCAACATACCTTACATAGCCAATCGCATCAGTCTGTTTAAACATGTGGTACCCTGAAATACAATGAAAACTCAAACATTTTCAATTCACCCTGGACCCTGGATGCTCCAGTGCAGAGCATGAAAAAAGGACATGTCTGAGGATCGTTAAGTCACCCTACTCTGTGTACTGTATTTCTATACAGTCACCCCATTCTTTGCACCATGTAATTTATCGTTGGCTTCAAGGAGAACGAGTTTGTAACATGTGTAAGTCGAGTTGGTTTAAGTTACAATGGAAAATTTGGAAAATAATTGCTAAAAACATTTTTCATGCCTCTTAACTTTGTTCTAGCATAACTATAAATATACTGTTGAGATAAACACAAATTAATAAAAAGGCTCTCATGTTTGTTTACAAACCTTTGCCAATGATATGTTTCCGACTGAAAGTTATTGGACCATCCGGTAGTTGGTCTGGCTGAACTCAGCACTTCTACGCTTTCCTGCATACTCCACTCATAATGCACTCTTGTATTTAGCAACAGAACACCACTGGTAGGAAAGAAAGAAAACAATCTTTCTATAGCACCTCTCAAGGTAAAATTACAAAGTGCTTCACAAGAACAAAAAAGGATAAAAAATGTAAAAATGAGAAAAATATGTGATTAAAAAGGAAAGGAAAGGGAGAGAGAAAATGAATAAGGAAGAGGGAAATCAGTGGATCCCGACAAAGGTGGAATTGGTAAAAAGAGATTCAGATTTCAGATTCAGATTTCAGATTTATTGGCCAAGTAAAATTACATTTACAAGGAATTTGTCTTCGGTAGATGTTCGCTCTCTAAAACATACAACAACCATAATAAATGAGAATAAAAATGCCTAAAAACACATAAGAACATGTATACCCACACATGCAGAGCAGAATATATTTATTTTATTTTATTTTATTTTATTTTATTTTATTTTATTTTATTTTATTTTATTTTATTTTATTTTATTTTATTTTATTTTATTTTATTTTATTCTCAGGGCACCTAAAAAAGTGGTCTAGGTCCGCCACTGCAGCCCACTTTCCGCTGCCTGGCTGTTACATCACTGCGGAAGGACACGCCTTTTGGGGCGGCGACACAACCCGGGGAAAGTGCTTGTAGAGGGGGAGGGGTGTCCCGTCGGCACGGCAGACAGGCAGACAGCAGCTGCGGAGGCAGGACCCGGCACCGTTACTCCACATTAGAAATAAAAATCTTCACATTACGGCTCTCAGCCCCGAAAACACCCGAAACAGCAACACACACCCCGCCACCTAAAGATGGTAGACCGCGAGCAACTGGTGCAGAAAGCCAGGCTGGCCGAGCAGGCGGAGAGGTACGATGACATGGCCGCTGCCATGAAGTCGGTAAGTAGCCTCCCTCAGAAATGACCTTTCTCCTGTTTCGTTTTTATAATTTTTTTATTTGTCTGCGGTGAATAACCGGCCTGTGTGCGGTTTGCTAGCATGACGTGTCTTTTATTTTATTTTTAAAGGCAGCTTTGGAGCGTCTGAGAGGGGGGGGGGGGGGGGGGGGGGCGCTTGGGGCTGCGCCCTGGCTTTCGGACTCGTTCCGACCAAATCGGTCAAACCACAGAAAAGTGGTGTATGAAAGTTAGGATTAAAGACGACGTGTGTGAGAAAGCTCCGACAGCGATTCTGGTGGAGCGCTGCGCTATTAACGTTTGGGCTGCATCTCCAGAACGGAACCAGTGCGAAAGGCCCGTCGCTGCTCACGTGCAGCCCAGTTTCTGATTCACACGAGAACCACTCACGAGAAATCGCTGATTCCACGAGTCTGGGTCGGAACCGGTGATTTACAGGGGAACCGGTGCCGCTGCGAGTTAGTGGCTGTCTGAATGCGGGCTGTTTGATCTTGGGGCGGTGCCTTTCACCAGAATCCTCCACACGCTCACAGCCAGCTTCGATTTAACAGAACCGAGAATAAAAAACGCTAAATAGAAAAGATGTGAAATGTAAATTTAGTATTTAGGGGATACATAGTCAAGTTGAAAGATGCGCAAACTGAGTGGATGGGTGGCTCTATGGTGGTGTGACATGGCAGGATGTGCTGATCCAGGTCGTGTTCCGGTTTTACGCGACATAATGAGCCATCATTTAGGGAGAAACGCCACTTCTCCTTTTGCAGGGATGAGCAAGAAGGAGGGAGGGAGCAGCTGCCCAATGCGCATTTGGCGCATAGGAAAGGAGCAACGTTGGCTGAAGGTTGATCGCAATCGATTTACGCAGAAGCAGCGCACAATATGCAAACCTCGCTGACGTTTTTGTGTTGTAGATTTAAAAACCCTCTTTGTGAAGCCCTGCTGCAGCAGCATCAGTTCTCCCTCCGTGAGGGTGGAGGGATGCTGCGCGCAGCCGCATCCCTCCCTGCGTCCTCGACCTCTTCTACAGCAAGTTCCCACACAGAGGCGTGCCGCAGCATTTGCCAGGATGCAGCATAGGCCCGCCTGTAGTGCACCATTTCACATCACAGCTCCACAAAGCCTTCACAAGGCAGTCGGTTCATGCAGCAGTGGACAAATTCTGCTGCTTCTTTGTTTTAAAACAGACTTCTTCTCTCATAAGAAGATTGATCAGATGGGTTTTAGTCTTTTTCTGTATATTTGTACCAGATTTTAGCCTCATACCTGGTTGTGTGACAACAGATGCAACACAATTAACTGGAGCTACTGGCACTAGCTCCTGGAAGTCGAGCTGTCAGAGGGTTTCAAGTCCATAATGGCTGTGGCAGTAATGCCAGAAGGGCCCAGCGCCTCCCTCTTCCCATTTATGCCGAGTCAGAGAGACAGAGCTGCCCCTCACCCAGCCAGCGTCTCTGCAGCACCGGGCAGCGGGGTGTGTCTGCTGCCTCGCCCATCATCCCAGGCGAATCCCTTGCCACTGCAGACATGGCAGTCGCCCTGTTGGCAAAGGAACCAAACAGCACACATCCTTCGGAGAGAACCGGGTCCCGGTTACTCAGAGTGTTAGGTGCATGGGATTTAGCTGAGGGTAGGGCTGCTCGATTATGGCAAAAAACAATAATCAAGATTATTATGACTGAAATTGAGATCTCGATTATTTAAGACGATTTTTCAATTTATGTTGATTTTATTTGTTTTTATTCAGTCATAAAATTGCTCAGGGCACAATCAGGACAAAAATAAAGAAACAAGATGATCACTAAAATAACTCCTGATTCCCAGTATAAAAAGACCAATATACTTATAGCTCATAGTTTATGACCCAAGGGCTATAGACCTTGGTTTAACTCATTTAAGTCTAACCAGTACAGACCCAAATACCAATATCTTGCAAATACTGACAGCAAGAATTATACATTGGCATTTATAACAAATAAATGCAAATAAATTGATGTTCACAAAATATTGCATAACATTTATTGAGTCGTGTCAAGGTGCTGTAGGAGAGTGCACTAGCACCGTGTCCTCAGAGAGATTAGTTATTAGTTATCAGCGTGAGGAACTTATTTCTACCTTATTTATAAACTATTTATTTACAAGTCCATCAATTAATGTAATAATTGTCCCAACCACAGCTGCACCCCCCCCAACCTGCTCTCACAGCAATCGGGGGCAAGCTGCACGTGTGTTTAGCACGCCGCACGCACACATTTAGCCGTTTTTATTGGCTCAGGAGTCCGCAGGTGTGGTGTGTGTGTCACTCACTCTGGTTAATCCAACAGGAAGCCGACTCTGAGAGCCGTTTCTTTAGCGACTGACACATCACTTCATCATTCCCTTTCCTAATGTCCTGAAGAACGGTCCGGAGCGCAGGCGGAGTGTTTAGCTAACCTGCAGGAAATGTCAACGACCGTTATCCAGAAAGTAGCTAAGGGTTACCAGAGATGTTTCTGAGGTGTTCGCTAGGTACTTTAAAATTTAAAACGTCAAGAAGGGGGTCTGAAAAGCTGTTGGAAATGGCGTCAAAGTCGCCAAGTTGGCAACACTGTGGGAGGAGCGCTTCATTTGCAACTCAGCTGTTAACTTTATTTTTTCTCTAAGTGTTTTTCTCCCCAGAAGAAGCCACAATAATGTTCTGCTGAGCTGTGGTAGCCTCGTGGTGGGGGCCATCGTCTTGAACACTGTTGCTAACTATTTAATCATTCTCCCTCTCCTGACCATAACACTTTACTTTCCTTGACATTGAATGTGCTACTACTAGTTTACCCGTTTAATTATAGATTCACTAGGATAAATACAATAAAGTTTATCTCTCACCACATAGAATATTTACTAAGAAATCACAATGTAACCATAGAAATATTAATTGGGGTGTGTGTGTGCGCGCGCACGCACGCTCTGTCTTCTTGATCCCCAGTGAGTCGTGGCAGATGGCTGCTTATTGACCCTTTGCAACGACGTCACCTGATCACGTGGGTCCACCATGGTGGACGGCAAAAGCATGTAAACAGTGAGCAACACGAGTACTAAACAAAGGGAAAAGTATAGCCTGAAATTGTTTTTGCGATCAAAACAAAAACAAAACTCCTCCAGCATTCCTTCAACTAGCTCATGCCCAGTTCAGTTATCAGTAGAAGTAGCGCATTTAGCGGGGGCTCATAGAGAGCGGTATGCTAACTAGCTTACCAACATTAGCTTACGTTCTCTCTGCAGCTGTTCACCGATGTAAACATGTTGCTGACTTTGCCTAAACTCACCCCTCTGGATTTATAACTTTATGTTGTAAACAGCGTTTCACTTCACACCAAAGCTGATTGTTAAAAAGTCTGGATCTCTACCAGCTTCTGTTGCTGGTGGTGTTACCGGGTTCAGCTGCTGCTCTCACACCAGAATGAGAAGATCTCTGAACGCCGACGCTCACATAAATAAATAACGTAATTTTAACACACGTAATCATACATCGGAGCTTTAATATTGTTAATAATTGTCTCGCTTTACACTACAGTGGACGGAGCACAGCCTCCGTGGTGAAATACCCATCCATCAGGATTATCAATAACTTGTATAAACACACCTGTCCCTGTCTTCCTCGTGAAATAAATTAACGTTAATCGTACCCGTTAAAAACATGTTCGCTGCAAATCTGAGGCCTGCTAGTCTGCTTGATTGCTGCAGTTCATCTCCATCCTCAGTCTCCATCAGTTATTAAAAAAAAAACTAGTTGAGTTTACATCCTTGTCTGTTAGTGCAGCCGACCACGCAGCAAGCTAAAACCATTTTACTGTCAAATCAACTAAATAAAAGCCATAAAAGGCTACAAACTGGCTTGTTTTGACTAGCTTCACTAGAGTTTCTACGGGTGTAAATGGTCTTTTTGCCATCCATCATGGCGAAGGGGGCGGTCACATGAGTGGTGTGACGTCACGTGCAAAGGATAAATATTGAGGCAGGATCTTCTGGAGGTTTCTTCCTGTTAAAAGGGAGTTTTCCTCTCCACAGTCGCTAAATGCTTGCTTAGAATGAGGATTGCTGTAAAGTCACTGACACTAGTCAGTGACTCGATGCAACTTGCTGGGTTCCTTATACAGGAAACTTTTTTCTGATTGGCTTAATGAACTGACCTGTATTGGAATGTTATGTGAGGTGCCTTGAGACGACTCTTGTCGTGATTTGGCGCTGTATAAATAAACTTGAATTGAATTGACTAACTGGTAATCCTCCCCTGCTCCACCTCAGTTCAACAAAATCATCTCTGCAGTACCTTCTGTCTCTGAATGGTGCACGTTCATGTGGAAAGCTCTCGCTGTTCTCATATCTAATGAAGATATATATCATACACTCCGTGCAGCAGCTCTGATGTGAGAATTAGTCTTTCTCAAAGTCTCACTTTTGTTCAGTAACACAAACTGCGTGGAAAAGAATAGGACCCAACATTTCTTGGTCCTTGAACCCACGATGGCTCACACACGTGGCAAGTCCGAGGTAAATTGTTTGCCGGTCTTTGAGGAACTTTTCGGCAAGTTTAGTCCCGTCTGCTTTTCCTAACTTATCTGTCTTCAAGTAGAAGCAGGCAGTGGGGGGAAATGAAAACGCCACTCAGTCCTGGTTCTTCCTGAATTGTGCATGCACTCTGTTTGACTTGTGTGTGTGTGAATGGATGTCTAACACTATAAGCTAATGCTGAGCAGTGCTAAAGTAAAATTGCATGGGGATCTATGGGACAAAGTGTGAGCTTAGACATGAAAACGGACCGATTGTTCACATTATCTCAAAAGAACAGGGTCAGACTATCTCTTTTACAGATATCTAAAATAATAATTCATGAAAGGGGGAAAACTTTTGATTTCTTCAGTTATCGTTCAGCAGATCGGAGCTGATCAAGGATTTGTAAATTGGTATCTGTGAGGATAAATGACCAGAGGTTTGTATTTGGTACAAGTCAAA